TGTTGTTCCTCAGAGCTTTAATGACAAACGGCTGTATTGACCAACTTTTCTGGTGAGAAGATGAAAGGACAGTAAAGTGGGCGATTAGTGATTTTGCAAACAAGAGTGAGATATTTTGCTAAAAGTAGATTTGATCTTGATTTTCAAAGAAGATTACGTTGAAGGAGATTTGATCTGATTTTCTTTTATCGGTGCCTGATTTCTAACTTCACCGGGAAAATGAGCTTCAGCGACGAAAATATTTCATCGCTGCTCCATTTTCGTCGCTAATGTGATCGTCGCTGATGAAAATATGATTGTTGCTAAGTGCGTCGCGTGAAAGGTGTCGTCAGTGGACGCGCGAAGAAACGGGAGTCGTTCGGCCCAACGACGAAATAAACATTGATTTTAGCTAATTTAATTTCCATTGTTGGAATGCTATTGTGACCATTATTTTCGTTGTTGTTTATTTATTTGTTTTTTTTTACTTGTACGTTTTTTTTTCTTTTTATTGGGACATTATGTGATTTCGCCACTAAATACAACGATGTTCGCTAAATAAAAACCAAACTTCAATGTTATGTATTAGTATGACTATATTTCTTGCAATTCTAAACAATAGAATAAATGATAATAGAAATGATAATAGAAATGATAAATCATATTAAACTTTAAAATTAAACATAGTAAATACAAAATATATCAAAACTTGAAAAGACTAACATATGTCATGTGTTTAAATATTAAGTCTTTTACATATTGATCTAATATAATAATAGTGACAAGTTTACCGAATCTTCGAGAATAACACAACACAAATAATTTCATGTGATCAATGTTTTTTATCTTAAAAATATATCCAAAATCAAAATGATAATATGTAATATAACAAACTACATAAACACATTCATGATAACGTTATATTCAAGCTCCAACAACAAAGAAAACAACATTCTAACAACTATATAACAAACTTCATATTCATAATTTTCAAGCTCCAACCATAAACATGAGCCACATTCATATGTTTCAAACTCGCCAACAATAAAACATAAAAAACATCCAAAAGTTTAAATTTCAACAAAATTTGCATTCAAAAGCCCCCTCAACAACTATATAACAAACTTAATATTCATAAATTTCAAGTTCCAAGAATAAACATGCATATCTTTCAAACTTCAACAATGAAACATCAAAACACATCCAAAAGTTTAAACTCCAACAAAATTCGCATTCAAACCCCCGGGCAACGTGTAAACCTCTCTTGTCGATATGCTTCTTCAACAATTCAACGAGTGACCTAATTCCTTCTGTAATCCTATACAAATTCTAATATTTTAGGTCATCATTTTATACCAAACAAAAGTAAATATATTAAAAGTATCATTTAAAGCAAATTATAAGCAACAAAACTAATTCGAAACATTTTATTTTGAAGCAAATTTCATTATTCCAACTAAAAAAACTAACAAAAAAATAATCTTAAAGAAACTCTAAACAAACATATTTCATTAAGAATTTAACTTTAAAATAAGTTAATAATAGCATTCTTAAAATTTTAACACATAAATCAACAATAGGCATACTTTTAATTTTATTAAAAGAGAAAAATAATGTACCAAATAGTGTTAAATTTTCCATGCACAAGAACGATCTTAAACTTATTTCCAATCAAAGTCTAAACAAACATAAAAGTAAATTCCAAACATATATATTTAAGACAAATTTAATTATTGCACCCAACACAAGACATAACACAATTGTAAATCATGTGAAACAATAAACCTACTTTAAATATAATCAAAAGAGAAAAATTTGTTCCTAATAGTGCTAAATCCTTCATTGCACAAGAATGATCGATGAAAGAACTCCGGTGAAAAGAAACCTCAAACTGTGAAGGATTCTACACACAAAATAGGACATATAGAGTATAAATCAACAAAAATAAAACTCAAAAAGCAAATACACTTACCTAGCTATTGAAATCGACCAAAAACCGGTGATTATTATGAAGAAACCGGTGGCAAGCAACCATGGAGGCCGGTAGCAGCGGTGGGGAACGAAAATGGAAGAGGATTGAAGAGGCAAAACAAAATGGAGGAGAAAAGGGGTTAGGGCCGTGTTTAAGGTGGCGAGGCGGCGAAAACCTTTTCGTCGCCTCCCAAAAATGTTGCCGTTCTTATGAGAAAATTAAATTTTTTTTTTCATCAAAACAGCGCCAAAATGGGCGTCAAAATGTGATTCAACGCCCGCTTAACTTATGCGACGCAGGTTTTCATCACTTCTGCAATGACAAAAATTATTTTCGTCCCTCAATAATGTCGTTGTAGACCTTTTTTGTTGTAGTGCTTGTGATGTAGAGTTATTTATATTGACATCTTCAGCTTGATCTTGAGCTTTAATACTATGTTCAAGTCGGTTGTTAATTATTGATGCAAAAATTTAATTTAAAGAAAGTTTGAAACCTACGGCGACGTTGTGAGGTTGGTACAAGTCGTTCGGAGCGAGCTTCTTCAAGGGTACATGTGAAAATAGGTAGACCACTCCGATGCCAAAGTTATTGTAGAATCCAAGTTTAGGCTGATCAGCTTCAAACAGATTCGCATACTTGAATGGGTGGGGTGGTGGTGTATTTATAGTAGTCAAAGGAGTAGCTGCCTGTCCCATCAGAGTATTTTCCGTCGCATATTTTGTGACGAAACCGATTTTCGTCGCTAATATGTGATGACAATTATTCCGTCGCTAAATGCTACATTTCTTGTAATGTAAAAAACCAAAAATAGGTTGGTTTACTTTGTCATATCTTGTTTTAGTCATGTTCTAATTACGAGTGTAATTTTATTTCATTTATACTTAAGAATACATTTTTTTAGCCAAAGCGAGCATAACTTAGCGGTAATTGGTATGTTCCTCTAACCAAGAGTTTGTGAGTTTGGATCTTCCCCCCAACATGTTGTACTAAAAAAAATGCATTTTCTTAATTTTATTTTATCTTATCTTCTGTTCTTGTTTTATTCATTTATCCATTTTTCTAATCTTATATTATTGTTGCTTCAATTATTCATAACAATATGAGATTTGATTGATAATTTTCTAACCTGTTTATTTGTGTTACAAGCATAATATTTGATAAATGTGTATATATTATGTATTTTCTTAATTTTATTAAGGATATTTAATTCGAAATTTTCAAAACGAAAACTTTTCGACAATGGAACCTCGAAATATTGGGAGGCGAATGTTCTTGGTAAAGATCAATATCTCGGGAAGCTAATATTTGGTTTTTAATATGTTTTTTTTAATGAAATGGTGTATTTTTAGTAATTTTCTCATTTATCGTTCTTTTGGTTTGAAAAGTAATCGAAATACTAATACAAAATTGTTCTAAAAAAAATCATATTTGGATTCTTTTTTAAAAAAATAATATATTTTGTTTCTGTAATTCTTCTTTTCCACGGAAAATTTTATTGTAAAAAACTATTTTTATAAAGGTATTTCCTGAAAAAGTTAGAAATTTTTAAAAGCATTCATGATATTTTTAAAAATTAACCCACCAAATATTTTTCTTTGATATTTTCTAAAAAATTCCTATAACGAAAATTGGAGAATTCGAGAGGTCGATTCCATGATGGATTTATTTTTATAGGCCAATTTAAATTCAAATAATTAAAATTTTCTTGATAGCTTTAAGCCACCCATAATTATTAAAGCAGGAAACATTTAAAAATAAAAATAAAATTCTTTTTTTAATTTGAAGGCCATTTTATTGAAACTACTATATTAATGTACGTAAGGTATTTGAATAAAATGAGGCTTTATATAAGAGCAATTTAATTAAAGGTAATAGAGGTGATATATCATTATTACAAAATAAAGTAGATCTAGAAACTGATATAACATTCCTCCAAAGGTGAGCTACATTGTGGACTAAATTAGCCAAAAATGCCAACATTCGATAAATAATTGATTAGATATCAATAACTCATTTCAATTTGTTTTTTTTATACAATTAAGGATTAATTAACCTAAATTATATTTTTTGTTGTCATAGTTAGTCATACTTTTTTAAAATGTATTTTTTATTTTTTATTTTCCATTTATTTCATCTGTATCAACTTGAGGAGATCCATTTTTATTTATTTATTATGGTTGTGTTTTCTGCCATAATGGTTAATGTACTATAATGATTTTAACAGAAAAGAGTGGTAGGAAAAATTTTGGTCCTATCAACAAAATTAAATTGAAAATAAACGTGTCACAATTTTTTATCAATGGTCAAATATATGACCCCCCCCCCCCCCAATTTACATTCTGTCCTTCATAGCTTAAATGATGGGATGGCCCATGACAACCTGTATTTTTTTGGTTTTTGTGTTTTGATGCCACTGATATGAAAAGTTTAAATCATTATAGTACATTAAAAATTCTAAAAACAACAAAACTCACGAGCTTTCAAATTGAAGTTTGATAAAATATCGGATGCATAAATATAAATCAAGTTTATCTATTTCGAGTTTCTCTTCTTAAAAGTTCCTCTGGGGACAGAAAGCTATAATTAGTTTATTAAATAATTTTTTTTCATATTTCAACAATGATAAAGTAGGGATTCAACCGTCAGACTTTTGAATGGATAATAAGCATCTGATCCATTTGAGTTATGTACAGATCGACAATTAGAAGACTATTTTGCCATTTGCATGGTATAAAAAGTTAATTATAAATTGAAAACGTTACTAATTTTGCAAAATAATTAACTTGGTTTTTAATGATAATAATCAAACTTATTTTTATTTAAAAAATACAAAAAGGCGGATTCGTGGTAAGAAACTAGTATATCAAAATTGATAAAAGAAAAAGAAAAAAGGGAAGACAAAAATCCATTGTTATCCTTGAATTGCCTTGCCTCAACAGTTGTCATTTGTCAACATCCACAATCAACAAAAACGTGGTTTATCTGTACTGTTGGACAAGAAGGAGAGAATGGTAATTTTGAATTCTATATCGAAATTTATTTATTTATCGTTTGAAGAAGACATGGACCAAAATTAGGTATAAAAGTATTGCCAGTGAATTGATCTGAAGCAACAACAAAGCAAAGCCAGAGCGATTTGAAGTTGAAAATGGCGGACCAAAGTAAGTAAAATTTCCTCCTTGGTTATTAATTTTTTGCTTGAGTTGTTCGTTTCTCAGTATATTTTGAATTTTTTCTCAAACCCGTAGACTTTTTTGTACGATTGAAATTAGGAATCTCATGGCCAGAACTGGTGTTTGTTGATGCAAGTGTTGTGAGCAACATCATAAAGAAAAATCATCCTGAGTTCGAGATCGTTGTGCTGTTAGCAGGAACTCCAACCACAAGAGATTTGAGGCTCGATCGAGTTCGACTTTTTGTTAACATAAACAGTGTTGTAGTTGAAACTCCCATCAATGGTTGAAATGTGTTGAGAACACCTTTGTTTGAGACAATATTTAAATAAAAACTAGAATCTATTCTAGTCTTCTACTACTACTGCTTAGCATCTTTATACCATCATGTGGCGAGTTTTCTTTGTTTGAATTTCAAAATTGATGCGTTCATTTGGAGACAAGAGAATAAATTAACATAAATAGTGAGTGAGGTGATTCGAATCGGACCTCTAACTTTTTGGTTGATGATATATACATGTTTTGAATAGTTAAACTAGGTTTAAATTAATCCCTAACAACTTATTTTTAGATTGAATCATGAGAAGATGAACTTTTCAAGGGAAACTATATAAAAGAAAAATGAGAAGGAAAAGCTTACACAAAAACTTGTTTGGTGCGTCAATTAAAAATTAAATTTATTCGTGCGACATTGTACACGGGTGAGTCCTGTTGATGTAGAAATTTTGTCTCTTGAGATTCCGTCAAATTCGCACCAGTTGTTAATAATGAAATAGGGAACGGATGTCAACTTGGAAAACCAAATAATACTGAACACCGGTGTGGTGCTAGCCATATAGGTTTCGATGCCTAAGTTAGAATCGGAAGTTTGTTGAGTATTGAGAATAAGGTTTTCAGCATACCTTTAGGGTTCAGCTTATTGTTATATCTATAGAGATCGAACCCTGATGTCCTTAGGAAACATATCCTGTTGGGCTGTGGGCATCTTGTGGGTTGACTGTTGAACCAATAGACCCAGTGCCCTGTATTAGGTTTGGGTCCACCTCCATAGGGTCGTCGGAGGGCTTCACCGAAGTTCTCAGCAGGTGGCCGAGAATTGTTGGGTGGATCTAGTTGGCTAGATTTGGTCGATTGGGACCCTTGTCATGCCCTGGCCAATCTGGTCATGCATGCTCTGGGCCGGGTCATGCCTTGAACCTAGTCATGCTTTGGATCTGGTTATGCTTTAGCTCGTGGATTTGTGATGTAGTTTGCCTGTCGGGTCTAGCTTTATCTAACTCTGTCTTATTTTTTTTTTGTTATATTTGTAATCAATTCTATAAAATTACATAAAGTAATTATATAGTTATCCTAGAGTAAAATGGATTATATAGTTATCCTAGAGTAAAATGGTATATTGAACCAACCATCTCGATTAAGTAATATTAAAAGTACAAAAATAAGAAAGAAATAATTAAAATTTATATCAAAATTGTTTATTGAATAGATAACTTCAATTGAAATAGCTAAGTACTTTTTATGGTTGGAATCCTCTATTAAATGAATAATTTTTTTCAAAAATTTCCTAACTTATAAAATTATATATTCAACGAATGGTTTTTAAGAAATTTATAACAAAACTATCAAAATATATATATATATATATACAAAAAAAAAGTTAACAAAGATTAGTGGTAAAAACTAAAATGAATTTGAGAAATAGACAAGAGATGATTGGTCTGAGGATACTACTTGCTTAGGACAACAGTACTTGTCCTCAATCTTTATAATTGTATGATATTGTCCGCGTTTGGTATAATCTTTACGGCTTTGCTTTTGATTTTACTCCAAAAATCTCAGATCAATGGAGATAATTGTCTTCATCTTTATACCATGACTCTTCACTAGTCAATGTACGACTTTGTTTGCATTCTCTTTACAAATTCAAACATATATTAAGTTACCCAATAAAAAGGCTTATATTAAGAGCACTCTAATTAAGGGCAATAGAGGCTATATCATAATTACATAATAAAGTAGATATTTCGGACCAAACTGAAATTGATATAACAATTTCTTCCCAAAGGTGACATGCATTATAGACTAAATCTTAACATACATTTATTGATCCTTTCTAGCAAAAGATGTCAGATAACATCGGTAACTACTTTTAAACATGATTAAATCATCATCCATGAACCCAAAAACTTAGGTTGATGGATTAAGGTATTTAATTATAGGATGTTATAGATGGGGAAAATCCCAATTTTCTACCATTTGAATTATCTTTAAGTATGGAATTCAAAATGAGAAAATATATGGATGACATTAGAATTTTCCCTAGATTCAAGAGAAGATATCCTATTGACTTCAAATTTTTCCCTCTAGGAAAATACTCCTAATGAATCTACACTACAAAACCTATTCCTTGTTATGTATTTTTCACATAAAATTTCAATTCTGACTGAAGCATCGGAGTGTATGTGGCTAACACCATATCGGTTGGTGTGTAATCTTCTTATTTTACAGGTTTCGTCTATTCCTTCTATTCCAGAAGATTGGTGCAAATTTAGTAATATTGATAGGCCAAATTTCTGCATCAATATAAGATATCTACGATGAACCTAAAATCTTAAATTGACGAGTTAGGGTGGGTAAATTTAGTTATAGGATACCTAACAATTGTATTAGAACTAAATAAATAATTGACTTTGATATCAATAATTCATTTCAATTTGTTTGTTTGTTTATATAATTAATGATTAACTTAAATAAATAATAATTATATATATTTTTTTGGTCATATTTAGTCATATCTTTAAAAATATATTACTTATATTTAATTTTATTTCTCCATATATTTCATACGCATCGAACTTGATAAGATTCATGCCTTGGTCTGGATAAGAATTGGCTCATCCATTTTTCTTTTATTATTTTTTGTATTTTGAAAATCCGAGGTTGGGTTATATATAATGAGGCAAAAATAAATGCGTGGCAGGAAAAAGTTTGGTCCTATCAACAAAAATTCAATTAAAAATAAACGTGCCACAACTTTTTGTTTACCAATTGGTCCCACTCCCAATGGTCTCAATTTAAATTCTGTAGTTCATGACTTAAATGGTGGGCTGGCCCATGACAACCTGTATTTTTTGTTTTTTAAGTCGTGTAATAATGTGTCTCAAAAAAAGAAAAAGAAAAAGAGTCGTGTAATAATGGAATATGTCTTTTTCAATAATTCGTTTAATTTTAACTGATTGAAATTAATTAATAATCTAGATTCACCATATCAAACCTTTTGCCAGATTTTCCATTTTTTTAGTTATTAATTTTGCAATATCTAGTTATTATTTTGCAATATGTGCAAATTTGTCCGATTGAACGAAATCCATTGTACGATCATGTGCAATTACTGCTAAGCTAAATTCATGTTAGCATTGGAGATGGAGACTAGATGTGAAGCTAGAAACCAACTGTTTGGGGTAAATTTAACAAAAGAGCTTAAACTGTAAGTTATCTCCTTATAAATTATCCTTGAGAGGTCTTTCTTAAAAGATGCGCTAAATTGTGTATTATAAGATGTGGTAAGAGATGCACTACAAATGTACTAAAATTGCTCTAAAAATGTGTTAAAACCAAACTATATAGGTTGATAGAGCTATTTTAGTGCGGCATAAGACGGAGATAGAGCAGACAAGTGCATTGCGTAGCCTAAGCATAGTGCGGCTTGCACAGCCAGCACGACCATAGTACGACCCTTACACAAAGGGGCCAAGCACATTATTTTTAAATAACATATCGATAAAATCAAGTAATATTAACGAAGTTTGAAGGTTGGATCATGTTATATTTGAAAAAAAAAAGAAGTGACATTTTTAAAATAAATATCAATTTTTTGGGATTTTTTTAAAAAATAATGTAATTTAAAAAAATTAAAACTAGGATAAATTTTGAAACTAATGAGTTAGATAAATAGTGAGAATCATCACATATGTGGTGAGAATTCTACCATTTGCTTCATACGATTATAGTGGCACGTGACAGTCATGTAGATCATGCATACATTGTATTTTAAAAAGTGTTCGATTTTCAAGATTTACTTAAATTACAGGCAACGACTAAAGAATGTAAGATAGATACGATTTAGAGGAAACTTTTCTAATAAAGATTTTTTTTTTATATTTAAACTACATTTGAAAAATATTTACTTTTAAAAATACCCCAATTTTAGAATTTTTTTAATTTTTACTTTAATTTCCTTATTTTTAAACTTCCCCCTAAATTTATGCTCAAGAATGTAGTTCTCTGTTTTACCTCTCAACTTGTCTTGAACGTTCCATGGAGGATGTAGGCATTATTCTTTGCTTTTCCCTTTCACTGATCATTCTCTTTCAGATTCATTGCCATTTATCAAACTAAATGGGGCCCTTGATTTCATAATCAATTCCCCATGCCCATGACAGTGTCTGATTACACAGTCCTTTTGGGTTCTGCCTGTTAATTTTACAACTCAAGTCTCAATTAGATCAAAAACGATGAATATACGCGCAAAGGATTCCTACAAAAGATGGCTTACGACATTATCAAGTTGAATTCCCACTTCCCAAGTCGACATGGGACCTTTGTGATCCACTCACTTTCTTTTCTCTTTTTCATGTAGCTTTCGTTGTAGCTTTCGTCTCAACTTTCATAGTCAAAATCTCATGAAAACTATCAACTCTCTCGATCTCCTAAACAACAAGATCTCGTCCTTCCCTATTCACAATCTATTGGGTCTCGACTTCTTCTAGCGAGACCTCACCTCTCCTTGATCACTCGGTGATTGATCCAATTCTCCGACTCCCAATCCAAGACCATGTTTATTACTTGGACAATTAATTTGGGAGGGAAAACATTTTAATTAATTTTCAAAAAATATGGGTCCGGACAATAATTGACCTTGTCAACAACAAAAACGTGATGGGAATGGATGTATAGTAGCATCACCGAAAATACCAATAAATATCAAGATTTTTATTTTGCTTGTTATTATCTTGTTCAATTGTGTATAAATATGGGTACCTCATACATTAAACAAAGCATTCATCTCATTCGAGCTTGAAGAGAACACAGAGATATTGAGATATGTCTGCTCCTTCAGATTTGCAAAGCTCAGGTATTTCAATGCCTTATTTTAGTATTCTTTTTTTTTCGTCTTACTATTTAAATTCTTAATTAGTCTTTCCATCATTCAAATTAGGACTGGAAGTGCCAGGAAGACAAGAATGGCCAGAACTGGTTGGAGTTAAAGTGAGCGTTGCTGCACTCATCATAAAGAGGGAGAATGCTAAGTTAGAGCCGACTGTGCTATTAGCAGGATCTCCAGTGACTTTAGATTACAGACCATATCGAGTTCGGATTTTTAAGAATATAGAGGATGTGGTGGTTGGGATTCCTAGAACTGGTTGAAATGGTATGAATAATCCATGTTTGAAACCATGAGGTATTAATTAAATAAGGTTGAATCTATTTCTACCACTTACAATATGTTTGTACCATGTGTTTCTGAATGTTGTAAGAGATGGCTGAAATTGATATATTTAATATTGTGATGTGGCTATGTTTTTTGAAATGACATCTTGAGTTGATCTCACAATTTGAAGTCAATAAATAAATGTCAAAAATTAATCTAGAAAAAATAATTAAGATAAATTAATCATATCCAGTGACATTTAAAAATTTGCACTTGTGTTATTTTTCATGTAAATATGAAATAACAATATTGTCACAGTACATCACAGTAATGCGTGGTTTTGGAGACATCAAAAATAAAAATTAAAGGTTTTATGCTAGAAAAAGTTGTTAGATACTCGATTTTTTTACTTGTAAAAAGGTAAAAGTAATATATTGACTAGTTGAACCAGGTTCATATTTGATGTAGAAATATTAAACTTTTCGATAAAATTCAATTGAAAATCCACGTCCAACAATATTGCTTTATTCTAATTTATGGACTTTTATGTTTATTCATTTGGTGGCTAAACCTTCCAACACTTTGTTTCAGTCTCTAAATGATCATAAAGAATACTTTTGGCATGAAACCATAACAAATCTAGCATTCAAAGAAGACTTACCACTAGTTTGACAAGTGATTGGGAGATATTGAGCCTCTAAACCATAGATAATAGTACAGGAAATAAGTTGTTTTTATTGAAATGGGTTCATGGGCTACATGATCCGTGTTAGCAGCTTTGTTTGTTTCAAATGTCCAAAGATACTCTCTCATTTTCATGTCTCCTTTGCGGTATGTCGAGGAGCATACCTTGATTGAATGATCAGAGAGGTGTTCACCGTCCCGAAGTAATCTATAACGTCTTTCCATATATCAGTTGAGGATGAGAGTTTGGGAAAGGAATTGGCCATTGCATGTAACTAAACAACCATATGATGAGGGACTGGTCATCCAATCATCGTATGCAGGGTTGAGTATCATAACCAACAGATCTTTAGTTTGTGCAATATACCGATCAACGGGCTTAACTTTTGATCCCAGCATAAAGTCATTGAGGCGTTGTTCTCTTAGTAGCACAAGAACTGTGGATCGCCAAAAGAGATAATTTCCTTCGTCCAATTTGAGGTTGGGAGATGAACTTAGAAGATTAAAGTTTAGGATGTTGGGTGCCACAGTGTGTAGTATTATGTTAGATATCCAATATATGAATTAAATTTATCCAATCCATCAACTTAAACTTTTAAGTTGAGTGGTGGTTTGTTCATCCTTAAGAGTATAGTTTGAGAAGTGGGGTTATTTTTTATGGTTGGGCCAGATTAAGATTTGGAACTAGATGCTTCCGTTTTTCTAGATTGAAGAGTTTGTTCAATGGTGGCCATGGCTAGGGTTTTAGAAGGAAAAAAAGGGGCTGTGTAAGCTCTAATACCAAAAGAAGATTTGATTGGCACTAAAGTTGTTCTCTGCTTTGATAATTGGTTTGAGAGGGTATGATTACACTTTAGAATTTAGAGAATCTGTATCAGAATTATAGTGG